AACCTAAATGTTAATATTCTGTTATTGTTAACTGAAATGAAATGTATATTATTCATGCATATAACATCAAATTGAAACTTTAAGAAATGGCATTTACAGTGCTTAGCATATATAAGTACACCCCTTACAAATCTATCTTTAAATTCATATTTTTAATAGGAAGCTATACCATATTATATTTGTGCATATGAAATTAGATTAGTCAGTAATGAAGCCACATCTGTAGCTTATCGAACTAAATTACTTACATAAATGGTCCAAAAACTAGTACAGCCAAATCTGTGTTATAGAAAAATTCATTCATTCATTCATTTTCTTGTCGGCTTAGTCCCTTTATTAATCCAGGGTCGCCACAGCGGAATGAACCGCCAACTTATCCAGCAAGTTTTTAAGCAGCGGATGCCCTTCCAGCCGCAACCCATCTCTGCAAAACATCCACACACACATTCACACACACATTCACACACTATGGACAATTTAGCCTACCCAATTCACCTGTACCGCATGTCTTTGGACTGTGGGGGAAACCGGAGCACCCAGAGGAAACCCACGCGAACATGCAAACTCAACACAGAAACGCCAACTGAGCTGAGGTTCGAACCAGCAACCTTCTTGCTGTGAGGCGACACCACTACCTACTGCGCCACTGCCTCGCCGTTATAGAAAAATATTAAATACAAATTTAATATACAAATTTTATACAAATTTAAAATACAAATTTAAAAATAAAAAATACAAAATTTTTGCTTCTCCTGAAAAATCATATGTTTAATAAATTTGTTTTGTATAAACGCACTAAAATACATTGCCTATGTTCACTGAGAAATGGATACAAATATTCATTTTCAAAATGGGGTGTACTCTATGCTGAGCACTGTATATTATATTTCCATTTACGCAATTGGCAGATGCTTTTATTGAAATCAACGTGCAAAATAGGACAAACAAAGCAAAAAAACTCAGGTCAAACTGTGAATTTTGGGGGTTCATAAAATGCAGGTCAATAACTATCGGTGATTTAAGAGTCAAAAAAAGCATACCGATAATACTAAATCAATACCTGTAGCTCCTCACACCGCAGACTGTCATGAAAATGCTCAGAAATGCTTGTCTGTGGATTAAGCTTAAAATGTTTCATTTCCTGCAAAGTGTTTTACTTTGTAAGTACTCAGTATGTCATTAGGATCCACATGGACATGTTTTTGTTTGTTTTGTCTGTATTTGTTTTGTTTTTTCATCTCAAACCAATAATGCACAATTGGGATTCGCATCATGGCTGTGCAGCTGACAAAATCTGCAGCAACTGTGTGATGCTATCATGTCAGTATGGACCAAAATCTCTGGGGAAAATTTCCAGTACCTTGTTGAATCTATCCCACGAGGGATTAAGGCAGTTCTGAAGTCAAAAGTGGTTCAACCTGGTACTAGTAAGGTGTACCTAATAAAGTGGCCAATATATATAAATACACTTCTCTGAAGTTCTAACTTATATTGTCATGAAGTAATTTGTGTTTTCGTGTGAACAAGTTCCACTTGCATCTGCAAGTGTCATGATAAATGTTCTTCTTTATTTGAAAAGTAGGTATACTGTAAAATATATATTACTCCGCTTCTCTAAATTAATTAATTATTTGACATTAAATGTATGTACAGTATTTAAGCCAAGTATAATAAAATGATGGTAATTAAATGACCTAAAAATATACTTTTTCAGTGGAAAGTGATTTAATTAGCATAACTAGTTACACTGCTGCCATTGTGAGGGTGCACACCAACGCTCCTGTTTTTTGTTTTTTTTTTTGGTTTGACACTCTGCGTTAAAAATGGTTGACCATTGAGATTGGTGCTTTTGTTCACATGTCTTGACCTGCTGAAGTTACAGTAAAACACAACTTGGTGGTGCAAAATGGACAAGGTGAGGGCATTCCTAAAAAAAAGATGCATTGATGCAATATGAATGTGGAGCTGCTTGTGCCTGAACACAAAGAGCTGTATGGAAATCACTGATGCTTAAACGTCTCGTGAAGTGCTTTGAAATGTGCATATTTGTTTGATGTTTGACATATTTTAAACTGTAATAGGAAGACAGGGTGGGACATGGAGTACCTCCTCCCCTTTGTAAAAACAAAACATTTTGTTTTTATCACAGCTTCCAGTGTATGGCGTTAATAATATGCCAAAACAATCAGAATTTGAATTGTGTTCATTTATATTGTTAATAATCGTAATTTAATAAAACTGAATATTATATGCTATTAAAAATTGTTGCTTCTTAATTTGAAGTTCTTAAATTTAATTTGAATTTCCTAACTTGAATATTAAACATCTGAAATTTAAGACAACTGAAGTTTTTATGTCAGATTTCTAAAGACGTATTTTCAAACTTCAATTCTGAATTTATAGATTGCAGATGTTTGGTTTGTAAAAAATACAGTTTCAAGTTTTCAAAATGATTCGGAACACCAGATTCAATATTCTACAATTTAAAACCAGAAATTCAGATTGTAAAATTCAGATTCAGCAGACAGTAGGTCAGGTGTCATCAACAGGGAAGAGTAGAAGATCACCGAAAAGTCAAACTAAGAACTACCACTGCTTGATTCATGGTTATGCACAGGGTGCAAATTACGGGTGCTGGGGGCTTTAGTGGGGTCTGAAAATAGGTAAAAACGGGCGTTTTTTTTTCTACATACACCCTAATGTAAAATTAAACATGTATTTTAATAGCCACCCATAGTCGCACATAGAAGAGCACAATATTTCATGCTTTTATTGGTGCAAGAACGCACACTTCTCACCGTTTGACAAAATTAGCCAATTTATATATTAAAATAGGTCTTCTTTGAGAATCACATGTCTGCTGGGTGCAAACAGGATCTGGAAATCCTAGTAAATGCATAACTTTTAATAGCCTATATTTTAATCTAGGCTTGAAAAGTGCTTAGATTTTAGATAAAGTTATTCAAATGTAAATATTTTGCTTTCATAATGGCTGCGTCCGAAACCACCTACTACTCAGTAGGTACTGCATTTTAATTTAAACGTACTACTCGGCCATTAGAAAAGTATGTTCTATACAGTGTGAATGTGAAAGTATGAATGGAATTCGGACATACTACATCCACCATTTTGACATAGTCATGTGACGTACCTGCGTAATTTGCGTCACTTTACTCTCGTTCATGAATTCGCTCGCGGGGCATCATGGGATAGCGCAGCATGCATGGGATGCGCACTCCAGAATCTCGCTGGTAGTAGTAAGTCATCCGGGTACTTCTTACATACTGTTTTTCGAATTCTATGAATTCGGACATACTACTCGGCTCACATACTGATTTTAGCGTACTATATAGTATGGAAGTATGCGGTTTCGGACGCAGCCCAAGATTTATTTTTCCAAATAGTTACCTATTTAAATAAAATGTAAAAATATATTTTTGCTTTTGCATAAAATGTAAACTCACCGCTCATTTAAAGCAGCAGGGGAACAAATGTGACTACAAAAAGACTAACATACTGATAGCAACATCTAAAACATTATTTTTATTTCGCGAGCGCTTTAAGTCTGCCAGTTACCACTGACTTGCATTTAGTAAAACACCACAGTTACAGCTAAAAATATTTGTTATTATTCTACCAATAAAGTCACCTACTGTACATGTTTGATGGCCTGAAAGTGAGTAAATTAACAGCAAATTGTCATTTTGGGTTGAGCTGTACCTTTAACATTTAAAAAATAAACCCCATTCACTTGCATTGTACTCTTTATTTTCCAGGATCAACTCTTGAATAAGGGTCTGACGAGTATTTTAGAACAGATTCAGCTTCATGATGGTGAGTTTCATAGGTCTTATTGGTGAATTTCACACCCTGCATGTTCTTTAATGAGGTTCAATCCAGATGTGTGTAATTCAATCCTGGCTGCATTCTTCCTCCATTTCTCATGCCCAGATGAAAACCGTCTCCAAGCGCTGTCTGAGATGTGGGTGAGGTTTTTCACAGAGATCCTGCCAACTCTTCAAGCTATTTTCTACCCTGTGCAGGTATTAAAATGATCTCACCTACCATTCAAAGTAGTCGGTCGGCGTCAGGTTACAGACGCTATGGTGACTGATTTGTTTTGGCGGTGTTATTAGGGTCAGGAGTTGACTGTCAGGCAAATGGCTCTGCTAGGCTTCAGGAACATGGTTCTGTTAAAGCTTTCCTTGGAGAAGGTGCTTCAGGACTCCTCGTGTCCTTCTTCAATCACACAGATGCTGCTCATTCTGCAGGTAACTCCTCATTTGTACAATTAAGATAATGAATTATGTATTCATCTTGTTCAAGCAGTTCCAAATGTTTCTTCTGGTGAATAAAAAGAAAATATTTTGAATACTGTTTATATATAAAACGAACTTAATATTGTAACACTTTAATATTAACATGATCTTTTGATATTTTGAAGCTTTTGACATGCATAGTCATAAAAACTGTAAATTTTATGCTTGGTTTTTATCACATTATCTTCATTTGTGGAGGGTAAAATATGATTTTTTTATCTATTTATTTTTATTTTTTTATTTTTTTAATTAAATTATTTATTTTTGATGAACTATACTATCAAAAGGTTCTGAAGAATTATGTTTTGTTGAAAATAACAATATTTAGAGAGTGGATGAAAACAGCTGGCTTTTTATTTTCATAAAACTAGTTTAAATGCAACCCAGGCTCATTCTGAAAACGTAGTCCAGCAGACGTTTCTGGAGACTGCGAAATACGTCCTGGAAGGTACGTATGGCTGCATTTCATTTTTTTAAGCGAACGCTACGGAGCGGTGTGACGTCGTTCCCTTTCGCGCTTGCCGGCTGACCGCTTACCTCCGTGTGGAGGGCTTTCCCACTGCAGTCAGTTTGTCCGGTCAGCTCATCGTGTGCGTCAGCGAACTTCAGATGCAGAGAGGAGGAGTTGACAAAGGCGTCTGGGTTCGAGTCCGGGGAAGAGGGGTTCCAGAAACCAGGTAAGACAAAAACAGAATCCAAAAAATAAAGCGAACAAGTTCATAACAGGGTGAGAACGTGGTGAAATCCAAAAACGTGGTTAAAAAAAAAAAAAAACAGACGAAGGTTTTTCTTTTTCTAGACGGCATTTCTAAATTGTTGCTCGGGTTTAGGGAAGTAAGCGGGTGGGCGGGTCAATCTGTAAAACTGGTTGGGTTCAGGGAAGGAGGAGGGTGGGTCAGCCGATTGGCCGGTCGCGCAGTCAATCGTTCGCTCAGTCAGACAGCGGCCTCTGGTGGGTTGACGCGAGAACAGCGCGGGCATGAACTCGCCAGAGACGTTCGAGATACGAAAAAGTGAGCACAGCGGCCTCTCGCGGATTCGCGAAAACAAAAACTGCACAAATACATACCTCCCGGGACGTATTTTGCGGTCCCCAGAAACGTCCGCTGGACTACGTTTTCAGAATGAGCCTGGGTTGTTTAAATGTGTCTTAAATGCAAAAACTTAAATTATATTTTCTCATATTCTGCATAATTTGACAAAGATTTTTTTTTCACACATTGTGGACCCCATCATACACCCGGTGTAATAAAGCGCAAGATGTGTTTTGCGCAATTTGTTGCAATTTTCTGACCAGCGCATCCCTAATTTTCACATTTTGCGCCACGTTGCTTAAACAGCAAACCCATTTGTGCCACTTTGTGGACTCGTGAGTGTGCTGGTCTGAAAAGGAGATGTGTCAAGGTGCATTGTTGGTGTGCTGCTATTTTTAAGAACTGAAATAGACTAAGCCATTGGCCAACTAAAACCTGGTCTAATGTTCAGCTCCGAACAGTGCTTAATACACACAAGATGTACAGCAATACACAAATATCATTCATTTTCTATTTGTGTTGTCCCTTTATTGATCAATCTGTCACCTCAGCAGAATGAATCGCCAACTTATCCAGCTATGTTTTACGCAGCGGATGCCTTTCCAGCTGCAACCCAACACTGCTAAACACCTATACACTCTCGCATTCACACACGTACACCACAGCCAATTCAGTTCACCTATAACGCATGTCTTTGGACTGTGGGGGAAACTGGAGCACCCGGAGGAAACCCACATGAATACATGGGGAGAACATACAAACTCCACACAGACATGACCCAACCAGCACTTGAACCAGCAACCTTCTTGCTGTGGCGATTGGGCTACCCCCTACCCCACTGTGACGCTACACAAATATCTTTACAAAAAAATAATAAATAAATAATTTAAATGTTACAAAAAGTATTATTTTCTACATTAATATAAAAACCGCTGCCTTCATGCCTTCTTCTTGTCGAGGGGTCTTTTTTTAAGTTCATTCGTGACAATCTGCTTTTGTATAATGGTATTATTATTAGCAGTATTATTTATTATATGCATATTTAAATTTAATAAAAACAAGTTTAGATATGTCCACCTGTCGGCTTTTGAAGACATGTGCATCACTATATGGGGCATAAGAATAGGACGTGTGTTTGGATATAACTCCTAGTGTGTTTTTTTAACCACACTTCATTATTATTGCTCATTTATTTGTTTGCTGGGAATTAGAACTGAATTTGGAAATAGTTTTGAAGCTATTTTTTGCGCTTAACAAATGAAATTAAATCTGTAGGCTTATGGATGTCTTCAGTGGAGAGTGTACAACACGGTTCCTTTATCCACGAAAGTAAACAAGTAAAAAGTAACAGTAAAGTAAAGCAAAAGTAAAGAGGCCGAATGGAGGAGGCTCATTCTTTATCCTTGCACTGCAGATGCTTTGTTTAATTGTTTTCTTTATGTATTTATCTGCTTAAGTGTTCAGTTTTTCCACGTACAAATAAACGTATAACGTTTAATGCACGTTATACTCAAAACACACCCATAACCCATTAAGAGAATAACCACAACCCTGTTAAACCATGCGTTTATTTTCAGTTCTTAAATTAGCAAAAATGGATTCAGACATACCCTTAATGCTTTTGCACAATGCGCTTTAGATTTTGAGTCTAGGTCATTAAAATAGAACCCATGGTGTTTCTGGCATTTCATCTTACACCTTTCACTGACAATGTTGTCTTGCCTCCTTGGTAACCATTATTAACAATCCATTGAAAAATGTACAACTGTTATAACAGATTAAAATTGTTAATTATACTGCTATAAAAATGCAATAATATTAAAATTCTATATGGAAAGTTTGCTCAGGGTAAATTATAATTTGTGCACACTCACTCTCTCACACACACCATAATCATAATGTATTTTATACTATTTTAAAAATATGCGGTTCATTCCACTGTGGCGACCCCAGATTAATAAAGGGACTTAACTGAAAAGAAAATAAATGAATGAAAAAATGTTTGTTATATGACCTCAGCCTACGCCAAACCCTCATTTTAAACTTGTGGCAATTATTTTTAAGTCAAATTAATCAAATGTATACTTTTAAATGACTGAAATATCACATTAACTTCATACAACCAAAAAAAAACATCTTTCTTGTCTATATAAAATAAGTTTAAACTGCCAACTCTGATCTGTAAATATATTATGAAATATTGATAATTGCCATTAGGGCTGGGCGGTATGAATGTATATATCATTGTAGCACAATGAAATGTGTATCGTGAAATATTTTTTTTTTATTTTGTGTATACTGTGATATGTAAATAAGTGGGCGTGTCATACTGCCCAGTTCTAATTGTCATATATAGTTGAACTTTTAATAAAGTGTACAGATGATTATGTTGAAGTACTCTACACTTTTAAAAAATGCAATGAAAATAAACTATTTAACAAAAACTTAAATTAAAATGAATGAAAACTTTTACTAATTAATAAAAATTTTACTTAAAAAATACAATGTTACTTACAACAAAAGGGAAAAAAAGTTAACACAAACATTAATCGTTCATTCGTTTTCTTTTCGACTTAGTCCCTTTGTTAATCCAGGGTCACCACAGCGGAATGAACCGCCAACTTATCCAGCATATTTTTTACGCTATGGATGTCCTTCCAGCTGCAACCCATCTCCGGGAAACATCCTCACACACTCATTCACACTCATATACTACGGACAATTTACCCTACCCAATTCACCTGTACCGCATGTCTTTGGACTGTGGGGGAAACCGGAGCACCCGGAGGAGACCCACGCGAACACGGGGAGAACATGCAAACTCCACATAGAAACACCAACTGACCCTGAGGCTGGAACCAGCAACCTTCGTGCTATGAGGCGACAGCGCAACCTACTGCTCCACTGTGTCACCTACAACATTAATCAAATATTTGTTAGCAAAAAGTGTAATATAAATATGAGGATGCATATTGAAAGAACTGCATGAATATCCCCTGAGGGATGGTGTTAGAGAATACACATGTATCTCCTATGTACTTCTGTAACCTCGCGTGACATTTAAATTGACACCATGAAACCAAGTATTTTGACCCAGCGCTGAGTTTTAAAATATGGCTTGTTCATACAAAAGAAATCACTCCGTCTAGTTGCTGAACAGTGGGATCCAGTGTCATGCTGGAGGGGAATAATATGATGAAGCGGCAGATGCGTCATTTACTCCCACTTGTCAGCTGTGATGGGATTGAACCCAGATATTTAACCGTTCATTTACCAGCTCTTTATTGCATCCATGTTTTGTTTTCATGCAGGGCATTCATGAGCCCAACGGACCAACGCAAGAGTATTTTCTACTGGAGAGACTAGTAGAGATGGTTATATCGCCTTACCTGAGTAACTACCTCAAGAGGAGCCCGAGTGATTCTTCTTCAGGTGCTCTTTCATTTTATATTTTACTTTGCTCAATCTCTTGGTTTGGGGGTCGATTAGATGATGCTTACAATATACAATATAATATACAAATATTAATAAACCAAAACATTATATATTATATTATATTATATTATATTATATTATATTATATTATATTATATTATACTATATTATATTATATTATATTATATTATATTTTTATATAATATTATATAATATTACATTTTATTATATTGTATTGTTATATTATATTATATTATATTATATTGTTATATTATATTATATTATATTACATTGTAATATTATATTATATTACATTGTAATATTATATTACATTTTATTATATTGTATTGTTATATTATATTATATTGTTATATTATATTATAGTATAGTATACTATATTATATTATATTATATTGTAATATTATATTACATTTTATTATATTGTATTGTTATATTATATTATATTATATTGTAATATTATATTGTTATATTATATTATATCATAGTATATTATATTATTTATTACCTGTTTATTAAATTTTTTGTATTGTCTTTTTTTAGTTTTAAATACTTCAAATAACAAAATGTTTTAGTGGACAATGTTAATGTAAGGCCCCGTTTACACTAATAAGTTTTAGTAGTTTTCCTATGGTTACACCTTCTGTGCACAATACCCTGGAGTTTTCGAGCCCCGAAAACGAAGCGTTTTGAAAACGCATCTTTTCCTTGTAAGTTCAAACTTATTCATTCCTTGATATGGAAAACTCCAGAGGACAGCTTGGGTAAATCCTCAAAGGGAACAGTGTACTTTACAACATCATTTACATCACCCTGGCTTTGTTGTTTCACTATCTTAACAATAAAATAAAAACATGATATAGGGAACTGACTATTTTTATTTGGATGTTATCAGCTTAACAGACCAAATATGTTGAGGCGTTATGTAGTTACATATTTATATGACCGTCATCTTCACTATATGCATATTTATAACAAAACGGAGCCTATAACATAACTGCCTCTTTTTATTTTCATTGAAAAATAGGAAACATACCCTCTCTTTTGCTAATATCACTTTTAATAATCTATAATGACCATTATAAAAGTAAAACATACAATAAGTTTATACAATATACAGTTGAAGCCAGAATTATTAGCCCCCCTTTGTTTTTGTTTTTTTTTTTGTTTAGTTTTTTCCTTTTAAAATATTTCCCAAATGGTGTTTACCAGAGCAAGCTCATTTTTATAAGTATGTCTGATAATATTTTTTCTTCTGGAGCAATTCTTGTTTGTTTAATTTCGGCAAGAATAAAAGCTGTTTTTCATTATTTTGAAACCATTTTAAGGTCGAAATTATTAGCCCCTTTAAGCTAGATTATTTTTCGATAGTCTACAGAACAAACTTATTATGTTTAGAAATGTGTTGAAAAAATATTCTCACCGCTAAACAGAAATTGGGGAAAAAATATGTGTCAAAATATAGCTGTGTACATACACTTTTAATTTAAGAAATATGTTCTTTAAAACTAAAAACTATAGACATTTTAAAGTTATTTTCATGTATCTAAAACTATACACGGTAGTCTGTCCTGGCTGAAGGTCCCATATTACCAGTTAACCATAGATTAATGGAGAGTTATTCTCCTATTAAAGCAATGTTATTTTAAAGGATGATAATTAACCAATATTAACAAAAATAACTAGCAAAAGAAAGCCGGTGAAAAACATACCGTGTGTGATAATAAAAAGATGATCACATGGACACAGTTATTATTAATAATCTGTTCAAAGACTGGTAAAAGTGAAAGCGGCAACCGCTGCTGCTTACAAAAACATCTAGAGCTCTGAATGCAGCAGGACTGTGGATGCACAAGCACCGTTTTTATCCAGTCTATTTCAAAGAAAAAACATTTACGTTTTCAGGCACGGTTGCTTCATGCAAGGAAACGGGACTCAGGAGCTTTTAAGTTAATTTCAAGCCCTGGATTAGGTATATTAACCCCTTTTTGTGCTTGTTACCAAAACATGTTACCTGAGAACAAGTAATAGATTCAAAAGACTGAAGAGTTGTCATATAGAGACAAGTTGAGTTAAATATCATCTTTAACAACTATAGTGAGATTAGATCCAGCGGTATATCCTTGATGAACTGTCTGACGTGCGCTGCTCTCTCCTGAGGAGGTGTGCTCAAAGCACTCTCTGACTACCTGAGCACAAACCTCTGCATACGCTGCAGCGCATGCCAGAGTGTGTGGTCACGTGATGTGTGTTTTCAGCGGTGTAGTGTGGACTGAGATGTTTCAAAAGCGATAGATTAAACGTCAGTGTGGAATGTTTTCATTCTAAAACACCATTTTTAAACTAAAACATATTAGGGTAAACGGGACCTAACACAGTGGTTTCCAAAGTGCGGGACAATGAGGGTAGTCGCTTGTTCATTTCCAAAAAATCCAATAAATTTTATTAAACTGATAGAATGAACATATTTCATCCATAACCTACAGAAGATAAAAATAGAAGTAATAGTTACATTAAAAAACATCATGCAAATAAAAAGCCATCTGCCGTTCGGTTTTTTATTTTTTCCATTGAATTGTGACCCCTGGGAGAGATTACATTACATTAAAGACGCAGCAATAGCGTCTAATGCAGCAAACTGATTTTATGGCACTAGATTAAACATTGAAACATTGAAAATAAATATGGGCCACTAAACATGGAGGATAGTGTCAGAGTGGAGGTCTCCAAAATAACACTAAGATTAACCTGGGCCTATTAGTGTGTGCAAGGTTTGTACATTTATAACAACCTATAAGTATAGTGGGGGTTGCAACTTGTCACTGGCTATTTTGGTGGTCAAGGGCTGAAAAAATTGGGAACCCCTGATCTAACATATGCGATATTGAATAAAAATAATAAATACGATTTGTTAATCATATTTTAGTATCATTTGACTCATTTTTGACCAAACTAATTAGTATTTTTATGTTATTTTTGTTTTAATTGTTTATATTTGTGTCATTTTTAAATAATGCCTATATTAGTGTTTGGTTTGGTTTTTAAATTAACCCAATTAAAAATTAGACATTTTCTTGCCTCCCAGCTGAAATAAAATATTTTGTAGTAACCTACACACCTTTTTCAAGAAAATAATCTTTTTCAAGGGATTTTATAGGGAATAAATCAATATATTTATTTACATATCAAGTATTCTGTCAGATTTTGCAAAAACTTGTGGGGATAGTTCACTCATAAAATGAAAATGCTGCAATCATTTACTCACCTTTGATTTTTTTCCATACTAGTTTGAGTTTATTGTTTATTCTGTGGAACTTTAAAGAAGATATTTTGAAAAATGTTGAAACCCAGTAACCAATGACTTTCATAGTATTTGTTTTTTCTTCTGCGGCTGTCAATAGTTACAGATTTTCAACATTCTTCAAAATATTTTATGTGTTCAACAGAACAAAAAAAAATGGTATAAACCATTTCAAAGGCGCGTAAATGATGGCCGAATTTTCATTTTAAGGTGAACTATCACTTTAAGAAACCGACAGATTTATATCATTAATCTTGATCTAACAGCATCAAATCTAACCACTGTCATGATGATTTTGATCTCCAGAGGGTAACAGACTGGTTAACACTCCACACCTCGCTCAACCCGAGATTATGGTGACGCATTTTGCCCACGAGTCCTTCCTGGCACCTCTAATTGAACACGAAGGTGAAGCCTATTTGGAAAGGACTGCCGGTGTGAGACGCCACACTGTCGCCAATGTGCAATCGGACATCCAGCTCCTGACCATGAATAACAGGATGCACTCAGAGAAAGTCGAGGTCAGTGGGACATCCAGAACAACCAAGACAGAGAGCAAAAGGACACCTAAGACTCCTTTCTGCAGCGAACCTGCCTTTTTTGACTCCCTGCCAAGTGGCATGGAAATCCGGCGAGGCCAAAGCAATGCAGAGATGAAGTGTGGCTTAACTAGTTAGAAAAGCGTCACTATCTGTTCACTGCAATCTTCTAAAGTCAAGATAACTGAGACAAGCTAGGACGTGTTCCTTTAACACTAGAACCGCCATGAGGTAAAATTGACCCATTTCTGTTTTCAGATTCACACATAACAAAAAAAAAAAAACTGTAGAAACTACCACAAAAAGTTCCAGTGAAATCGAGATAAAGTTTTTTGGATGTTAATATCAGTATGCCCCTGATAAATAAAGTGATTAAGCTGAAGGAAAATGAAGTAATGAATATCAGTATGTTAGCCTAAAGGATATCTATGAGTTAGTGTGCTCCAAAACATTGACAAATGTCAATATTAAGAACATTCATTCACTTTCTTTCAGCTTAGTGCCTGAATATCAGGGGTCACCACAGCGGAATGAACCGCCAAATTTTATATCATATGTTTAATGCTACGTATGCCCTTCTAGACGCAACCCAGTACTGGGAAACACCCATACATTCTCATTCACACATACTCTATGGCCAATTTACTCAGTTCACCTTTAGCGCATGTCTTTGGACTGTGCGGGAAACCCTAGCACCCGGAGGAAACCCACATGAACACAGGGAGAACATACAAACTACACATAGATATCCCAACTAGACTCGAACCAGCGACACAGTGTGTCTGAGCCACCATGCTGACTATTAAGAACATATAACCCTCATATAAACACTCAAAGCTTGCAGTTTCTTCATCTGACCAAACAAATGCTCTTTAGCATTTGACATGCCCTGCCCCCTTCTTTGCTATTTGCACTTGTGCTCAACCAACTGTCACCGGCAGAGTTGTGATAGAAATGAAATACTATTGGCCATTTTTTTAAAGGGGGAGGAGCCCTGTCTTTACAAGACAGGCCCGTAACTCAACAAGACCACCCCTTTTTCAAATCACTATTGCCCTTATTTTTTGATGCGGAAGTGTGCTCATTTTTGCAATTGTTTTTGTTAACTTCCGATTTAGCTACCTATGGTATAAATGATAGCAGAAAACCGTCAAACGACTTGCTCTTCAAACAAGTTTGTTTACGACAAAGTAGATTATTGTAACTAGAAAATATCAGTTTGCAACAAAAATCTATGGAAGTAAATGAGACTGGAAGTCTCGAGCCAAGAATAAGGTCAATAGTTACTAGACATGCCCCTTACTGCTGATTGGCTGCAAGTGTGTTTCGGGATTCGGTCCGACACTGTGTCAAAAATATTCCTTATTAGTAGTGCAATACATCCCAATGGAATATGTCCTTAAACACACTAGAAACAATCAAATGTAAAGGTTTTAGTGGTATTTGTATTGAAAATCTAATTTAAAAGCTGTTAACATTACACTTGCATTACCAATGCAACAACTGGCGCATTTGTATTACATTCCAAAGAGCTCTTTTATCAGCATCACAGTGGAAAACTTCACCGACCTGATTTCACCAAGTAGGACATGTTCCTGGATTAATATCTGTGTTGATCCTGGAACAGCATTCCAATCAGCCAATCAGAATTAAGGGATACATTTACAGTTTAAGTTTAGGCACCTCTCCGTGGTTGTTATGCAGCATCTATTCTCCTTTTTTGGGATTTTGGGATTAATTTACAGTTATGGTTGGGTTTAGGGGTAGGGAATAGGTTTGGATTACACTTTCCAACAAAAATTATGTTCTAGGACAGTGGTGGCCAAACTCGATCCTGGAGGGCCGGTGTTCTGCATAGTTTAGCTCCAACACTAATCAAACACACCTGCTTATAGATTTATAGTGATCTTGAAGACACTAAATAGCATGTTCAGGTGTGTTTGATTAGTGTTGGAGCTAAACTATGCAGGACACCGGCCCTCCAGGATCGAGTTTGCCCACCACTGTTCTAGGATCAACATAGATGTTAATCCAGGATCGCATCGTACTTGGCAAAATCATAACGTGTGTAAAATGAAGCCATATCTGTGCTGACTGGTCCAGTTTGGCACAGAAAGGATTGGTGAGGCTAATGAACCATGTGGCTAGATAGTGGAAAAACGACAAAAAATGTATGTTATTCATACACCCTGTTAAACATTATTGAGATAAAAGCTGATTAAATATGGACCTTACACACATGTAATTTATCCATGTGATGCTTTTATTTTCGTTTTGTCAATCACAAATGTTTTGGCGCTCTATGTTGCTAGCTAATGTCTTTTACCTGCTGAAGATCAGTCACAATAGATAAACAAAGGAGATTTATGGAAGCCAAACCGGTATTATCACTCATTTTCACTGAGTGGTATGGTTTAATACAGCACAGTACAGAATTTCCATTTCAGAAGTACAAAACCAAAATATCGAATCGTACAACTTTTTTGAGACCTATTCGGAGAAAATCGTCATTTAAGCATGCAAGGGGAACAACAACACAGAAAGCACCATTTTTAAATACACATCTGAAAAACAACACCGTAATAATAATAATTTTATTATTTATTTATTATTTATTTAAGTTTAATAATAATAAAATGATGGCATGCTGCAACAAACCATGGTCCAAAGCTTGTTGTTTGTGACAAAGGGCCCCACAGCAAGCATGAGCAGTATCTGCTGCATGTCCTCAATTCTTGTCAACTGGGCCATCTAAACATGCTGAAAACTTAAGGGTGCCACTTCCTCTGTATATTTGTGTTACATTTAAAATAATGAACTTGAGTATTGGCCTGTATGGCTTTTTTCACACAAGATTGGTGTCACTCACAACTTTTTGGCGTACACCACCATGCCTACTGAGCAGTGGAAACGCAAGCCAGGGGAACCTGTATCGTATACAATACCTGACAAAAGTCTTGTCACCTATCCAAGTTTTAGGAACAACAAATAATAACTTGACTTCTAGTTGATCATTTGGTTTCAGAAGTGGCTTATATGAAAAGCAAAGGCCTCTAGATTACACTTATTTTAACAAAATAAAATATAATCATAAATTTAACTATTTAATTAGGACAGTAAGGTTTGAATTCGCTTAGACAAAAGTCTTGGCACTTACCAGACATAATGTACAGTATAAAATATAAAGTCATGCTGCAGTGGAAACAGAATGAATACTGTGTATGACTCGCATAAGCTTGGAGGACTGCATCCATACGTCTTTGCAATGACTCAAACCACTTATTAATAAAGTCATCTGAAATGGCAAATAAAGCGTTCTTGCAGTACTCCCAGAGTTCATCATTCTCTGGATACATCTTCAATGCCTTCTCCTTCATCTTACCCCAGACATGCTCATTAATGTCCATGCCTGGTAACTGGGCTGGCCAATCCTGGAGCACCTTGACCTTCTTTGCTTTCAGGAACTTTGATGTGGAGGCTGAAGTGTGAGAAGGAGCGCTCTCCTGCTGAAGAACTTGCCCTCTCCTGTGGTTTGTAATGTAATGGGCAGCACAAATGCCTTGATACCTCAGGCTGTTGATGTTGCCATCCACACTGCAGCTCTCTCGCACGCCCCCATACTGAATGTACCCAAAACCATGACTTTTCCTTCACCAAACTTGACTGGCCTCTGTGAGAATCTTGGGTCCATGGGGGTTCCAATGGGTCTTCTGCAGTATGTGTGGTGATTGGGATGCAGTTCAACAGATCATTGATCTGAAAATCATCTGCCACTTTTCCAAATGATCAAATAAAAGTCGAGATATTATTTGTTGCTCTTACAACTGAGATCAACAACAAGACTTTTATCAGGTAGTGTACACTGTACTGTACTGAGGCATAAATGATGAGTGTTGATGAGTCTGATAATGGTTTGATATCATATATATGTGAGTGTTGTATCCTGGATCTGCTCAGCATCATAGGTGATGCCCATGAATGTTTATTATTATTATTATTATTATTATTATTATTATTATTATTATTATTATTATAGACATTACTTTGTGAAGGTCTTTGGGCATGGGTCAATTTTAGCCATTGGTGGATCTAGGTAACAATCGTTGGCGGTTCTACTGTTTATATAATATGGTGTCTAACATACTGTAAAAATGTGAGTTATTTTGTGCTAAATACTTGCTCTGCCTGTTGGAGGTCTGTCTGAGGTTTATTTCTTGCCAATCAAACTGAAAGTCACACTTTTTTTCTGCCTGGTGGTAAAGAAGTGTGACAATATGCTATGGTGAGCAAGCGGTTTATAGAGGTACAGCTACAATGAGAGTAATGCCGAGTACAGACTGCACGATTTTTAAAGTAGTCGTGTCACAGATGTTTTCACACTGCATGACTATCTGGGGTAGCATTCTGTCGGTGCTGTTTTTACACTCCAGGATAAATCGACGACTGGGGGGTTCACTCTGCATGACTTGGCCTTGTTTACACCAGTGCGTTTTAGTTTTGAACGGCGTTCTAGATCTAAAAACGATCCGCGTCCACACTAGCGTTTCTGAACATATCTCCGTCCACACTATGCCACCAAAAACGTAGATCACATGACCATCCGCGCACTATGGGCATGCGTGTTCCAGTCTAAACAGGAAGCATGTGTCTCGCTCGGCATTGGTTTATTGTTAGTCAACAAACGCCAGTTTAACAATGAATGCGATGGCAAAGAAAGCAAGAGAGGTATTTTTGTAGACAGGCGACTGGGTCGAGTCGTTACTAAACGTAACAAATGAATAACTGCACAGTGGCGCCTAAAACAGACAATAGTGCAAACAACGCTCCAATTTCTGTGACCATGTGGTTGTTTACAGTGAAGGCTGGTCGGCTGTCTTCCGGTGGCGTTAAAGCCATGTGTTATAGTCATGTGATAGGGGCTTAATGAATAAGGGAAGGATACGCAATTATACAAAAGCCCCAATCAGGTAGCGAATGTCGGCAGCTCTGCCTCCGTTTTCAGATGTCTCCGTTTTCCCCCATCCACACTGAGACGGAGCAGCAGCATTTCAGAATGAAAACAGCCTCTCCAGCGTTTCCAAAACGCTCCATTTTCGGCGCTCAAAAACTCTGGCGTAGTGTAGACGTATGGCGTAACCGTAGCTAAACTTATGTGTTTTCAAACTAAAACGCTTTAGTGTAAACGTTACCTTTTTGACAACTTTGTCTCGGTCCCCGAAATATATCACAGCCAAACACATGCAAGAAGTGACATAGAAACAATGAGTGGTCACATACAGTAGTATGTATTTTCTTATTAACTACATAATGAGAAAGAAGCTTTAAGTGGGGTAGAAAATGTACTTATATTGCTCACCTGTCAAATTTCCACTAGTTTTTCCTAATTTCTTATGTCAAAATAGACTAAAAAGAAGCCATTTTAACTTCTCCCCCAACCTCCCGCTGGCCTGCAGATACCCATACTAATGGATGCTGCTCTCTCATTGGCTGCAGGTGATTGCTGATGTTATTTTCAATCAGAACACATTTCACACGGCATGATTTTGAAGCGCCGACAGCTTCAGATATTCAGCATGCCAAATATCTGGGTGTCGGCGACTCATCAGCGATTATCACGCCTTTGATAGTTCACACTGTGTGATTGTTACTTATGTGAACGAGCACTGATTTGCCTGTGATTTCAGGCATGTGTCTGTGATTTCAAATCAGGGCTAAAATCATGCAGTCTGAACTCAGCGTAAGAGTGAACAATATCGATTCAAAGGCCTAAAATGTGAACATTTCCTTTGACTCGGTTTGGAAGATTTTGCAGATAGGCATAATGTGCAGGTAAAATAATGTGTTGATTACGAGCCTGCAATAAGACGGGTAACGTTTTTTTTTCTATGTTGATTTATAGTGTGTTCACACTTGGCAGGTTTGGTTAGATTAAAACAGACTTGCTTGTTTAGTACGGTTCATCGTTTAAGCAAACAAACTGACTGAGAAAAGGACCAAAGCTTTTGATGGAACACTTTTTCCATTAAATTCTGATGTGGTTCAATGAAAATATGAGTGCAATATGGACCTAAAACATCTAGACGAACCAAAAAACAATACAGTATGTTACAAGATTAAAACAGGACAGAAAGCATTACAGTACAATATATGCTTCAGAAATGTCTCCATGAAGCATATTTTTTGCTTTCGAATGTGACAGGAAAAAATCCTCCTGCTGTTTTGACTCATTTTATAGCCTCTTCATGAGATTTTCAACTGTAAAATATCTGAAAAACATCAAGAGCATATCCCAGTAAGCATTTTTTTTATATCTTGACTACAACTAAATTGGGCTGAATTGGGATGTCGGTGATGTCAGAAATCTAATAGACATTCAATTCAGGGCCTACTCACACTATGCCATCCGTACCGTGCCCAGGCCCGTTGGAACATGTGGAACCGAGCGCTGAATCGGGCTCAAGCACGGTTCACTTGGCCGGCCCTGGCCCGGTTGGAACATGTGTGCCTGAGCGCGGTTCACTTTGGCTTTGGCACGGTACGCTTGTGTGTGAGTGCAAAACACGCCAAAGCCCGAAACTGAAAGTGAGACGTGACTTTTAAGGGGCTGTTTCATATGGATTTATTAATCATTCTTACTGTTCAGTTAACGCAAACTGCCATAGCTTATTAAATACGCAAACCCCTCACTGCACGACAGCTGCGCGCCTTCAGCAGACCTCCTCATTCCTGCAGCACGAGAGCTTTATGATTGTTTATGAGCGCCAAAAGTGGCGGATCTGTTCGGCGAAATATCTGACTGCGTGTCACCGCATCCCTAAGGACTGTTTGGCGAAATATTTGACGGCATG